CAGCTGATAAGTTTTGAAGCTTGAGTCATGAACAATAAAACTTATCAGTTAAATTTTTTAAAATGATATAATTTTTTGAAGTTGACCAATTGTTAATGATTATAGATGATCTGCACCATAGTTTCAACAGGATTTTTGATAAGATTTAATATAGTTTTGCCATGGTTTCAGTAATTACTAAGGAGGTTTCACTCACAACCTTAGTCACCACTGGTGAAAATTAGCAATGCCCTTTTTTCTCACTACTTTATCTATTAGTATCTGTTAAGTTTATTTATTATACAACACAAATGATATCAAATTCTTTTGTAGCAAGGACCTCAATAAACAGCAAACATGGATCAAAAAAGAAAGGATTGTGTGAAAAACCAAGATATGTCTGGTGATCAAGAATTGAATTTCTGTATTACAATATAAAAATTTTATTATGTAAATTAAGCAGTTAATCATATATTATATTTCTACATCTGTCCAAAATGCCCATTATTTTGCATCAATAAAGATCAATCAATCATCCAGCTCAAAAAGAACATAGTCATGATGGTCATTGTTCAGCCTTTGCATCACCAAAGGATGCTGTAACATCATGTACCAATAGCTAAATTTATAAACAATATATAAGCTAAATGTCATAATAAATAATCTGTATTAATACATACCACCCATTTCAATACACATTCATAAAATCAGGAAATTTCAAGGAACATTGGCATTGTCAACTTTGTTTAATCTATATGTTCCTAAATTAATATTTGATTCAAAGTCATACAGTCAGACTCCTATATAGTCACATCCAATATAGTCACAACTCCTATATAGTCACACATTTTTTATTCCCGATTTTTTTTATATTAAAATTCATCATGTATAGTCACTTTTCATATTATAATCACTATCACCAATATTTGGCAGTTCCAAATATATTACAACATATAAAATTTCATCATATATAATCACCAATTCATGTGACTGTGAAATATTATTGGCTAATTGAATTTCGTGTGAATTTTTGAAGTTTAATAAATCGTTACCATTGACATTGTAATTACCATTACCATTATTGTTGTTATTATCATTACCATCATTATCATTACCACCATTATCATTACCATCATTATCATTACCATCATTATCATTACCATGTCTCAACCAAAAAAAAAAAAACAAAAACGTACAGCTATTAGTGAGCAATTAAAAAGAGAAATTTGTATATATTATCAAGAAAATGTTCAGAAAACTCATCAAGAAATTGCAAATTATTTTAGTGAAAAAATTTCATTGAATATTGATAGGTCATCAGTAACAAAAATTTTACATGATAAAGAAAAATGGCTAGATGTTTCATCTACATCTCATCATAATACTTTTTTCTGTAGAAAAGTGAGGTTTCCTAAACTAGAAAAAGCAATGAACATATGGATTGGACAAGTTGGTGCAAGTGGCCTAATCATTACAGATAATTTAGTTGCTGAAAAGGCAAAAAATTTTGGTGAAAAATTAGGAATTGAAAAAACTGAATTGACTTTTTCAAATGGATGGTTACGTGGATTTAAGCAAAGAAATAATTTAAAAGCTGTTAAAATTCATGGAGAAGCTAACAGTGCACCATTAGAAAATTTACCTTTATTACGAAATAATTTAAAAACTGTGACTAGTAAATATGATTTGGAGAATATTTTTAATGCAGATGAAACAGGTCTGTTTTATTGCATGTCTCCAAATCAAACTCTTGCTAGTGGTCCAATATTAGGAAAAAAAAGGTCATTTATTTATTTAAAAATTTAAGTTTCATTTAAATTTGTAATAATCAAATTAAAATTAATTTGAATTTAAACTTGTAAATTTTAATAAAGAATAAAGACAGGCTAACAGTATTGTTGGCAACAAATGCAACTGGCACAAGAAAACTTAAACCACTTGTAATTGGAAAATTGGCTAAACCTAGATGTTTCAATAATGTTAACATGTCTTTATTACCTGTAATTTACAAATCTACTCCAAAAGCATGGATGCGCACTGACATTTTTGAAAAATGGTTAAGGGACTTAGATACTGTTTTTCGAGTGGAAAATAGGAACATATTACTTTTAATTGATAATGCACCATCCCATACAGATCCAGGCTCATTGTTAGATGAACAATTGGAAAATCAAATAAGTGCACAAAGTTCAAGATTTTATATTTATTTATACAGCAGAAACTTCCATATCATATTTGTGTGACATTGCAGATCAAGTTACTTAATTTGATTTAATTATAAATATATACGTGGGGTGTCTGAAAAGTTTTGACAAAAGCTGTGTAACGTTACGTTCTTCAAGTCAATGAAGCTAAAATTATTTTTAAATAAAAGCCACAGTTTTCATCTTTCAAATA